TAGAACATGCAGATTGTATCAGATGCAAGTCTAAAGATCTGAGAGTCTAAGCTCAAAGACAGACGTGTTGATCACTACATCAAACAAGTGTCATCCAATCATCAGCAAATCTCTGAAGCAGAACGCGTGCACGCTTCTGAGAAGGCAAAACGCTGATTGGGTGCATTGAGACACATGTCTGGTAACCGTTTTTAAGTATCTTTCTAAAATCCCCCAAAATCAGCAAGCATTTAATAAAAGTAATCATGCTTTTAAAACCCAATCATGATTTTTCTCTTTCTTAAAAACGTTTATTTTTTCAAAATATTCTGAAACTCTATTTAAACTCATTAACCTCTCATTCTAATTCGTTACAGTTTCTCACTAATATTCAAGCATTCTCTGCATTTTTCTGTGTTCATCTCTTGCAAAACCTCTTTTTCCCAGTTTCTTCTCAAAATCTTTTAGTGTGAACATGGCAACCTCCGGCAGTGCTTTTGCAGGTCCTCAGAAGAAAGCATCATCTGAGCAGTATCAAGTGCCATTCAGAACACTCCTCACTCCGGTGAAGAATCTTGAAGTGTTATCTGAATTGATCATTGTTTTTGGAAGCTTGAAGGAGAACGGTTTTGACCTAACAGAAGAAGTTAGGGCACATAAATGGGAAAGGTATTTTGACAGGTTGGTTGGACCAACATTCCCTATGCTAGTCAAGGAGTTATGGATTCATGCGAAGGCTTCAACTCATCTAGTCACCTCCTTCGTTATGGGGAAGAAGATTGTGATCACTGAGGATCACATAGCAAGGTTAATCGGTTACAGTGGCGGTGGCGTCCGCTGTATTGATATGGCTGAGAGATGTGCTGACGTGGGCGTGATAGCTCAAAGGATTTTCACCCATGGGGTGCCCAGCAGCAAGATCAAAGATCTGAAGGATCATCACAGAGTTTGGGCTAAGATAATTCTGGGGTGCTTCAACCATAGGAAGCCAACTAGTTCACCTGATTACATAAATGTGGATCAGCAGTTTCTGATCTACTTTATTGATCAGAAGGTAAAAATCAACTTGGCTCATCTTCTGTTCAACCACCTCAAGACAAGTGTGAAGGAAACCAGGGAAGAAGAAAGAACCAAGAGGGATTGGATACCCTTTGGAAGGTTGATATCAGATATTCTGACAGAGAATAGGCTGATAGAGCATCTGATAGAAGCTCAAGAGTTAAGCACCATTGAACCAACAGTTGGGAAGCCTCTGAACGCGAAGAACTTGAAGAAAATGAAGTTGATAGAGAATATCAAAAAGGAACCCAGAGCTACTCCTATTGCTGATATCACCAGCAGAAGAGTTCCACTGAGTGACTTTCCTTTATTTTCTGAGATAGAATCTAAACCAGAGGTGGTTCTCAGATACTTAGACGCGTGCAAGGCAGATGGTACAGATCCAAATCTGAATATCAAAGATCTGCATAAACCTCAACCAGAAGTGACTCTGAAGAAGACGAAGAAGAGGAAGGCACCTTCAGAAGGATCATCCCAGCAGACACCCAAGAAAAGAGGTAATTTATCTGCTGCTTCTGTTTTAAATTCTTCTACTATTCCAGCATCTATTCCACCTCCAACCTCTCATAGAATCTCAATCCCCGTCCCAACAATAGATGAAACTGAACCAGAAGATGACCCTTCTGAGGCATTAAAACTCAGAAGACCCAGAACCAAACATCCCAAACCAATCTCAACAACATCAGCAATTGACAAAGTGTTGTCTGACATTGATCAACACACTTCTGATCACTCCGCCAATCCAAACTCTGAACCACAAATTGTCCCTCCTCCACAACCAGAACAACAGCAATCTGCTGAAGAACCAGAACAACAACAACCTCTCTCATCAATTCCAAAAGAACCCCTTATCCCTGAACAACCAGAAATTCCAACAACTTCTCCTCAACCAATAATTCCGTCTCCCTCTCCTTAACCAGAAATTCATCCACCATCACCTCAACCTGAGTTTCATCACTCTGAAACTCAAACTCCTCCACCTTCTGAACCTCATTCACCTCAATCATCTGAACCACAACCTCTGGCAATCCAGCTGCCATGTGGAACAACAGTCACCATGGCACAGTTGCCATCCTCACTAGAATCTACACCACCAAATACTCCCAAAACACCAAACAGTCCAATCATAATTTCTTATTCTCCCACTCCATCTCCAAAACACACAGCTGCCAAGCAAACCACCGAAAACCCCAGCAGGACATTCATAGACTTAACCAGCCTTGACCGTCTTGCTGATCTGAAACACAAAATAGCCATCCCAAAACCAAAACAACCAGATGTTGGCTCTGGTATTATGAATTTTGAAACAGGTTTGCAGCAATGGATTGCCTCTCTGAAGCAAGTCTGTCCTGGAATGATTGACCCAGCTGCTTCTGACCAGCTCTGGTCATAATTCAGACTTTGGGTACGTGCTGAAGCCCTCAAGTTGCAGGATATCAACTATGAGCAGGCACAACAGAACTTCAGCAAGCTGCTGAAGGAAGTTGAAAGTCAGCTGCCTCAGGAAGCTGTGCTCCCTCTGGATAGTGAACCTTGGTCTGAGAAACAGCTAGCTTCAAAGGTGCAACCAGAAGAAGACAAGACCATTCAAGCTGAAGCAAGTCAAGCAGAAGATGTTGCAGAAAGCTCTCAGAAGCTTCCTGCTTCTGATGTTTCTCAAGCTGCCTTGGACAGGCAGACTCTGGAAGAGCTGAAGCTGAATGACATGCGTCTGCAGCAGAGGATGGATGAAAACGACCAGAAGATGAAAGAAAGAATGGATGTGCAGGATAGCAAGATTGACACTGTTGTCAGCATGGTTCACAAGCAGAATGAGACTGCTGATCAGATCAAAGCCATGCTGGAGAACCTGTTCACACGCTTTCCTCCCCAACCTTAGTTTTTTCATTCATGTCATTTTCATGTTTTCTTTAATTTTCTGATGTACTGTTTGAATATGTTTTGTTTGATTCTGAACCCTCTTAATGTGACAAGTTTTTCTGATCTTAATTTGTTTTAGCACATCACCTACACTTTTTGATTGCTGACAAAAAGGGGGAGAACAAGAATGATATTTTAAACAATAATGGCTAACTAGACAGAAATTCTCGAACATTCTAACTTTATTATACTTGAAAATGTTTTCTGTTTTGCTTAAAGTCTACAGGTACAAGGAAGCTCCTGGACACTCTGAAGACTAAACGCTCTGATCTGCTCTGATATGCTGATCTAAAGCTTCTGATAGTCAAAGACTCTGATACTCTGATGTTCAAAGAAAGGCAAAAAGATCTGATCCTGAAGAACACTTGTAATCAAAAAGGGGAAGTAATAAACTCAGGGGGAGTATCTCTCAACTCTGATATCTTTTTATCCCTTATCTTTGATAACCTCTTACTCTGATACATATCTCTGATACCTTTTCACGTTATTCTCAATTAAAAATATCCAGTTTTTGTCATCATCAAAAAGGGGGAGATTGTTAGAACAAAGTTTGAATCTACTACCCTATGTTTAAGTTTTGATGATAACAAAGTGAAAAGATATATTATTTATATGATTCATGTATGAACTATCTGCTGCCTAAATTATTACGTTCTGATTTGCAGATACTCTGAGTGGTATAAGCAAGATCACATCTAATCAGCATCAGAAATTTGGTTCCTGACATCAGCATCAGAAGTTGCCATATCAGAATGTCAGAATCAGAAGATCAATTCACGTATATGCTGAAGTCTGATGAACAGAACTGCGCTCAACACTCTGATAAAGAAACACAACAGTTCATCAGCAGCTAAGCAGAATCAGAATGAGCCAAGCCAGAACTTGCATTAAGTAAGCAACTGTACTATGCATTGAAAGCAAATTAATACCAACGGCCTCATTCCAGACAAGATCTGCTCGATAAGGAAAGTTTGTTAATAGCATTGAATCAAGGATATTGCTCCAACGTTCAACATCTCAGTGCTATATAAACAATACTTTGAAGATTTCATTGGCTAATGCTCTCCAACATTTTACACGCCTAAAAGCTGATCATAATCTTCTTTCTCTCGTTTTGCTAAACACTACACCATTCTCTTATTCAATCATTGTTTAGCAATCTAGTTTCTAAGCTTTAAGTTGTGTATACATCACAGTTGTGATACAGTTTTGTAGAAAACATTAACACACTTAGATTGATCTTCTTTGTAAGAAAGCGTTTCCTTGACAAACCGGGTTGTGGTTTGCATCAAGAAGGCTTTAGCAGTTGTTAAAGCAGTCTGTAATATTCAGTTGAATATAGTGGATTAAGACCTCGTTGGAGAGAGGCGAAATCACCTTGACGGGTGGACTGGAGTAGTTTGAGATCAAACGAACCAGGATAAAAATATCTTGTTCATTGCATTGATTTTCAGTTTTACAATTCAACCCCCCCTTCTTGTGTTTTTCACTACTTCACAATCAATCCCATTGAAAACTCTCAAAGGTATTATGTTCCAACCATGGTTAATATCAGAACACCACTATCTGATTTAACTTCATCAATCTTTAATGAAAGAAATATGAGTTCACCTTCACCAGCATCTGCATCAAGCAACTCAAGTACAATGAAGAGTTTCAATATTGTTTCTACAAATCAACTGGCTGCTTCAGCACGACAGCGGAGGAAAAGTATTATGGAAGGTAAGATGCCCCAATCTTACAAACTTCATAACAACCTTAGCAATAACAGTGGGGGTCCTTTCAGGATAAATTCTCCATCCTTTTCGCATTTCAAAACACCATTTTCTGATATAGCTTCCTCATGTTCTAACCAAAGAAACATAAAACCTCATGCACCGCCAAGTTGTTCTATTCAAAAATAAAAAAAACAGTTGACTGTTACACCTCTTTCTGATATAACTTCCTCATTTTCTAATCAAAGAAATATGGAACCTCATGAACATCCAAGTAGTTATGTTCATAAATCAAAAAAATAGTTGAATGTGGGTGTTATTCAATCCATGACGGTCAAACTCTTCAATTATTTTGGAAATGAGAATCATAATCTGGCTTTTTCATCCACAAGCAATATTCCTATACAAGAACCCACAACATTCACTTCAACTCCAGATGTTAACATTGAGAGTGATTACTCTGGTGATGAGACGGTAATAGATGATTCTCTCAGTGATAGCTCATGTGAATTCAATGCCGCAGATGCAAATTATGACTCAAGTTCCAGCTATGATGACGAAGATGTCTATGACTCCAATTCTACATCATTTTATTCTTTAAATATTGGTATTTATCATTAAAACCAACTTTATTTCTTCTTTAAATTCATTATACATATCAATTTGACGTTGTCCATTACATGTTGCACTTTGATACCTGCTATGATTTAATGTGGATTTTAGTTATAATTTTATTATTTAATATGAATGATTTTAGTTATAATTTTATTATTTAATATAAACCAATTGCTCAACTACGTTTCATTTAAATAGGTTATTCTGATATTGGTGATCCTATAGTTGAATGCACACAATGTGGGGCACTTATGTGGTATCAAGAAAAAACTGACAAGCGAAAACAGAGTGCAGTTCCTAAGTTTCAACTATGTTGTGGAAAGGGGAAAGTTGTGTTGCCACTTCTGAAAACACCACCACTATTACTACAACGTCTTTTGTTTGATAATAGTGAGATAGACAGTCGAAATTATCAACAATTTTGTAGAATGTACAACATGATGTTTGCTTTTACGTCTCCGGGAATGAAATTCGACAACAGATTTTTAGCTGGAAGTGGACCACCTAACATAAGAATTCATGGACAGACTTGCCATCGAATTGGGAGCATGTTACCTTTAACTGGACAATCTCCAAAATTTGCTCAACTGTATGTTTACGACACCGACAATGAGATTTAACATAGAATTAAAGGAATTGGGTAATTTTACCAAACTTTGTTTTCTTTACAACATATTAAATATTTTTCATTGTTGCATCATAGTATTTCCTTTTATATGCATGAACAACCCCAATATTATTCCAAAAACAATTAGTAGATTGAAGGACATGTTAGATGAGTTCAACACACATGCCAAATCTTTTAGGATGGCAGCAGATAGATTAAAGGATTATCCTTTGCCTGATCTCAAGCTTAAGCTAATATCTGATAGATCAACAGATGGAAGGATTTATAACCAACCTACTGTTTCGGAGGTAGCCGCCCTAATAGTTGGTGATGTTGATACGGGTTCTAAGAGGGATATTCTTCTTGAAAGAAAGAGCGGAAGGCTAAAAAGAATAAGTGAGTTTCATTCAAGTTATCTGGCATATCAATATCCACTTTTGTTTCCTTATGGGGAAGATGGTTTTAGACTTGGAGTTCTTCTTAGAGAAACTAATACCAAAAAAAAATGAAGAGGAATAAGCTTACCATTAGAGAATGGCTTGCTTTTAGGATTCAATGCAGACATAACGAGGCACAAACTATATTGCGGTCAAGAAGGTTGTTTCAACAATTTTTGGTTGATGGATTTACTATGATGGAGTCACAAAGATTGAATTATATTCGAAAACATCAGAAAAAGTTGCGTGTTTCTAAATATTGCAATTTGAGCTCATCTGAACAGAATGCAAACACTCAAGGATCAAACAAAGGTAAAAGAGTGGTTTTACCTTCAAATTATGTTGGAAGTCGGAGGTTTATGGAACAACTCTATTTTGATGGAATGGCAATTTGTAGCCAAGTTGGATTTCCAGATCTTTTTATCACATTTACTTGCAATCCCAACTGGCCTGAAATCCAAAGGTTGCTTAGCAAAATTAACTTGAATTCTCAAGACCGTCCAGATATCATCTCAAGAGTCTTCAAAATTAAGTTCGATGAGTTGTTGTGTGATCTAACAAAAAAGCACGTGTTAGGGAGAGTGATTGCATGTAAGTCAATTTAATACCCTTTCAGTCGAGTTATATTTTTTGACATTAATCTTATTAAATATGTAATATGCATCATTTTACTAAGTTTAAACTTACTTAATTTCAGATATATACACCATTGAATTCCAAAAGCGGGGTTTACCACACGCCCATATATTATTATTCTTGCATCCTTCAAGCAAGTATCCGACTCCAGATGATATAAACAAGATCATTTCAGCAGAGATACCAACGGAAGAAGATGATAGGCAACTCTACCATTTGGTCAAGACACATATGATTCATGGCCCATGTGGTTTAGCAAATGCGAATTCAACTTGCATGAAAAATGGAAAGTGCTCAAAATACTTTCCAAAGAAATATCAAACCGAAACCATTGTTGATCAGGATGGATATCCCGTGTACCGAAGAAGAGAAACTGGTAATACAGTGCTGAAAAAACACGTTCAACTTGATAACAGATATGTAGTTCCTTACAATCCATATTTGTTGAAGAAATTCCAAGCACACGTCAATATGGAGTGGTGTAATCAAAGTACTTCAGTTAAATACTTATTTAAGTATATTAACAAGGGGTATGATAGAATTACTGCTGTTGTTGTCCAAACTGACGGTGATGGATCTCCCTCGGTCAGAATGGTTGACGAAATCAAGCAATATCTTGATTGCAGATATATCTCACCAAGTGAGGCATGTTGGAGACTTTTTTCATTTCCTATTCATGGTAGATCACCCGCAGTTGAAAGGTTGTTCTTTCATCTTGAAGGAGACAACTCTGTTTATTATACCGATTATGAATTGATAGATGAGGTGCTTGACAAACCAACTGTGAAAGAATCTATGTTTACGGCATGGATGGAAGCAAACAAAGCATACCCAGAGGCAAAGAATTTGACGTACTCACAATTTCTTTCCAAATTTGTTTATGATAAAAGATATTGTCGATGGAGACCGCGTAAAAGAGGAAATACAATTGGCAGACTTATTTGGGTCCCTCCAAGTACGGGTGAGTTATATTTCTTGAGAATGATGCTAACAGTCGTCAAAGGTCCAACTTGCTATGAGGATATAAAATTTGTGGGTGGAAAAGTTCAGGATTCTTTTAGGGATGCATGCTTCGAAATGGGCTTTCTTAACAATGACAAGGAATATGTTGCAGCCATCGACGAAGAAAAGAATTGGGGTTCCGGGCATTTTTTACGAAAGTTATTTGTCACTATGTTACTATCCGGTACTGTCAATAGACCACGACATGTTTGGGAAAAAACTTGGAGGACGTTATCTGATGGTATCCTCTACCAACAAAGGCAAAAAACAAATAGAAGAGGTATGAACACTTTATTAAACTTTTTTAAGTCAACAAATATTATTTTCCGAAGGCAAGCTGTATCTTTTTTTATTATAAAATATAATGATATGAACTTACTTTAAAATATAATTATTCTTCATCCATATGTCCCTTATTTAATATGTTTCATAAGGTATTTCCATTTACGTAAGAAACATTTTCATATTTGTCATTTGTCATGTATGTAAGTTATTTTCTTAACTTGCAGCTGCAACAGTGTCTTTGGTTCCATTTAATTTCACGCAGCCGCAACATCAACTGTTTGATTTATGTTCAATGTATTTCAACATCACGACAGCAGTTGCATCATACATATGTAATTATATAGAAAACTAATGAATTTTTTTTAACAGAATTGCATCTATCGGACAATGAGTTAAAGAATCTCACACTAATTGAGATTGAGAACATGATGCAATCGAATCGAAGAAGTTTGCATGAATTTAAATGTATGCCGTATCCAGATTCATACATCACAAAACATGTTGGTAATAGGCTTATTTATGACGAACTTAATTACGATGCCGATGCCGAGAAACAGAAATTCCAAGAACTTTTTCATGCCCTTACAGGTGATTTATTTTCTTTATACTATGAATTACAAAAATTATTTTTATTGTCCTTGCACTTATAATTCTTGGTTTGCATTTTATAGATGAACAACGTTTGATATTTGAGAAAATCATGGATGTTGTTAACAAACAAAGTGGAGGGGTATTTTTCTTGCATGGTTACGGAGGGACTGGTAAAACTTTCATGTGGAGAACACTATCAAGTGCACTTCGTTCTCAAAAAAAAATTGTTCTTACTGTTGCTTCAAGTGGGATAGCTTCGTTATTATTGCCGGGTGGAAGAACAGCACACTCAAAGTTCAAAATATCTGTGCCAACGCTTGACAACTCAACTTGCAACATCGACAAAGACACCGGACATTCTCAATTATTTGAAGCAACAGATGTGATAATATGGGATGAGGCACCTATGTCTCACAAGAACTGCTTCGAAGCATTGGATAAAACCCTTAAAGATGTAATGAGCAAAAAGGGTGTTGAGAATACTATTTTTGGTGGAAAAGTTGTTGTATTTGGAGGAGATTTTAGACAGATTCTTCCTGTTGTTCCAAGAGTTGGGCGTTCTGATATTGTTCATGCATCAATTAGTTCATCTTATGTATGGGATTATTGCCAGGTTTTAACACTATAAAAAAATATGAGACTTCAAGAGGGAAGAGACAACACAAGTTCTAATGAACTAGCGGAATTTTCAAAATGGATTTTAAATGTGGGTGATGGTAAGATTTGTGAACCCAATGATGGTTTGGTTGATATTGAAATTCCTCAAGAGCTATTAATATCAAATTTTGATGATCCTACAAGAGCAATTGTTGAAAACACATATCCCAATTTGTTGGAAAAATATCAAGATGTTGAATTCTTACAAGGAAAGGCTATTCTTTGCTTCAACCATTGAAGTTATGGACAAAATCAATCATTATGTATTAGACTTGATACCAGGTACATGTGTTTTATATTTACTGTATTATTACATTCATAATATATATATATATATATATATATATATATATATATATATATATATATATATATATATATATATATATATATATATATATTTAAGAACATAGTTTTACTAATTTATTTATGTTTTGTTTTTTAAACTTTTTTTTAGGAGAAGAGAAAGAGTATTTGAGTTTTGATTCCATTGATAGAACAAATTCAAGTTATACCGAAGCATATGAAGTTCTAACTCCTGAATTTCTCAGTAAATTAAGAACGTCAGGGCTTCCCAATCATAGGATCAAATTGAAGGTTGGTACACCTATTATGCTAATGAGAAATTTGGACCAAGCCGATGGGTTGTGCAACGGAACAAGATTAATTGTTACAAGATTTGCAAATCATGTCATTGAGGCAAAAATCATGTCTGGAAAGAACATAGGTAACATTTTTTTACATTCCACGAATGTCTATGTCACCTTCTGATTCACCTTGGCCATTCAAGTTGATTAGGAGACAATTTCCGATTATTGTCTCCTATGCAATGACAATTAATAAGTCACAAGGTCAATCTCTTGATAGTGTTGGATTATATTTGCCTACTCATGTGTTTAGTCATGGTCAATTATATGTTGCAATTTCAAGAGTTAAGAGCAAAAATGGGCTAAAAATCTTAATTCATGACAAGGAGAATGTACCGTGTTCTACTACTACTAATGTTGTGTACAAGGAAGTCTTTCAAGCACTTTGATAGTTGGTAAACTTTATATCTTATACTTTACGATTCAAATTAAAAATCTATTTTGAATTAAAATATATAGTATGTACATTTTCCATGTATTTCAAGAAGTATATAATTTTTCCTATTTGTTCATGCAGACGTGATTTGTTGATAGGACCGACGCTTGCTACAAATATGGAGTTAAATGCCAACATGGTTTATATGAGACATATACTCAACTGAAACATGGTAACATACTTAATAATTTAATAATCTATAAATGTAATGTGAATCCAGACGAGACCCGTGCGATAGCACGAGTTTGTTACTAGTTTTTCATCAAAAACTGGTTGTCCCATAAGCTGCCACGTTCTTTTCCAATTTTTTTTCTAATATTGT